GCAGAGGGGGATTGGGGCATAAATCAAAGGAAATCAGGGGGAGTTTTAAAAGGGTAATGAAGCCAATAGGATTTCAAAGAGGCAGAGTGTTCTGGGCCCATGGATGGCGCTTAAGCTGGATCAGCAGGTTATCTGCGGAAGACCAGTCAAGATTTGCTGTGCTCTTAAAGAGAGAACAGCAGGGGATAATAATACTAATCCAACACCTGGTGAAGCGAACAATGTTGATTCGTACAGCATGGAAAAGACTTACGCTGCTGAAGATCCGATACCGGCTTTAGCTGTGCCTAATGAAGTTAATAACGGAAACTACTTTGCAACCACGGTGAGCAGTGGTAAGATCAAAAGGAGGTCCTGTTATGAGTGTGGAGAAAAGGGTCATCTTTCTACAGCTTGTCCCAAGAAGTTTCAAAGTGCTCATGATCAGGCAAACGCAGAGCTGGATCAAGTGACTGTTAACGCAAAGCCGGCTATGCTAAGCTATGAGCTTCAAAAGAGCGATGGTGATTCTTACACGAATGAGACATATACTGCTACAAATGAAGCTCATAGTGAAAGCTTAGCAACTGTGGTTAGCATTGGTAAGATCAAAAGGAGGTCCTGTTATGAGTGTGGAGAAAAAGGTCATCTATCAACAGCTTGTCCTAAGAAGCTTCAAAACACTGATCACACGAACTCAAAGCTGGATCACCAGACTGTTGAGGCAGGACCGATTCAGGTAACAAGCTATAGTCTTCAAACTGACAACAATAGCGGTTCTAAAATGGACGAGACATATGCTGCTGATCCGATTGCTGTTGCTGCCACAAATGGTGCCAACGACGGAAGCTTAGCGTCAGCGGTTAGCATTGGTAAGATCAAACGGAGAATATGCTACGAGTGTGGACTAAAGGGTCATCTTTCAACAGCTTGTCCCAAGAAGCAGCAAAAATAGAGGTGAACCCGCAAGCCCTATACAAAGACGGGCTTAAACATTGTAACGAAATGTTCAAATTTGTTACATTTTAAAGTGAGATGTTAGGAATTGGATCATTGGGTAGGACAGTGGAGTTTTGGTCCTCTCTGTTTAGAAAAATCAAATGATTTTGTTCTGTATTGTTTTATGATCTTATTATAGAATGCTTCCAATCAACAAGCTATTTTTCTCATAATTTTATCATCAAAATCTATTCTTCCATTAAGTTTTCTTTTTATTACGATTGAACAATTTGGATATATACTTTATTTACTTTCGTAAAAGGGAAATACTTATATAAATTTATCTGCGATCTGGTTGGTTTGGTGGTTAAATATTTACTTCTCTTGCATGCTTAAGCACGAAAAACCCAAAACACAAATCTTTTAACTACCCTCGACTCTCGAGTCTTGACAGTTTCTCAAACTTCATCGATTTGATCTTTGGGGATTTGATGGGACCTATCAAAGCGATAAAGAAGAAGAAGAGAACTGCTGAGAAGAAAGTTGATCGGAACGTTTTGCTCGCTGCCGCCGCCGCCGCCGCCGCTGCTCTTCAAAGCGACGATTCATCTCAGCCGTTGGATTGGTGGGATGGATTCTCTCGCCGTATTTCTGGTACGGCTTATTGTAAATCTCGTTTCTTCGTTGTGCATTGGCATCGTTTAAGCTTATTTTTTTCTTATCGGTTTCGGATTACGGAATTTGCGTTTATGAATGTTGATAAGAGCAACTTGATTGATGTGGGTTTTTTAAGATGAGAAAAATTTGGAGGATAATCGTAAAATTCCAGTTTGAGGAATGTATGTTTTGTAATACCTAAATCGAAACTAGTAATGCAGGCAAGAGATGTTCCTGGTATCTTCCTTAGTACATTTTGAGTATGTAACTTTTGTGGTTTCGATCTATCGATTGACGAGTTTCTGGGTTTGTAACTTCTCTTTACGCTTGTGGTGACTAACTAAAGCGAGCTATATGATCATGGAAAGGGCTTTAAGTGGAGATGGAGATTCTTCTTAGGGCTTTAATGCTGAGTTTTGAGCCACTTAGATTCTTATAAATCAAGCAACTTTGAGCTTGTAGTTTCCTGCTTACTGCTTTTGATTATATGATATTCCCCTGTTATGAAGTCTCTAAGACTTTGGGACTAGCAGACGCTGACTTGTGTTTCTGGAAACATCCTGGAATGAATATTCTCTTTGATAATTCTCATTTTCTGATAAGGACATTATTAACTCGCCGTAAAGACTTAGCTAATGGCTTCTCTGTCAGTGATATCGTAATTAAAAAAAGTTGAACTAGGGATGATCGGTTTGTGCATTTTTCTCATGGTCTCTCCTTACGCAAACACGCTTGTAGGTCGATGATAACCTATTGATAGGTGCAGATTAGCTCTTCTGGTTTTGCATTCTTCTTTTAGGTTTTGGAATTTTGGATTTAAAGTGATTTAAACAGTTATGGATATGCATATTTCTTTTCATAAGCTTAGTCAGGGCATCGGCTATATCACAGTAAACATATGTGGACTATCATGCTTTTGGTCTTTGTTACTATCATGTTTTTTGAAGAGGAGCAAGCCTGAAGTTGTTGATCCTTGTTACTATGAGATTATCATGCTTTTTGCTCTTCTTTTTTAGGTCCATTGTCGGGGTCAACGGATCCAAAGATATTCGAGTCAGTTTTCAAAGTATCAAGGAAGACATTTGACTACATTTGCTCTCTAGTGAAAGACGATTTCACAGCAAAGCCTGCAAATTTCAGCGACTCGAATGGGAAACCGTTATCTCTCAATGACCGTGTAGCTGTGGCGCTTAGGAGGCTTGGCTCTGGTGAATCTCTCTCAGTCATTGGAGAGTCCTTTGGAATGAATCAATCAACCGTCTCGCAAATCACTTGGCGTTTTGTTGAATCAATGGAAGAGAGAGCGCTGCACCATCTCTCATGGCCTTCGAAATTCGACGAAATAAAATCAAAGTTTGAGAAAATCTCAGGGCTCCCCAACTGCTGTGGCGCAATCGACATTACGCATATTGTCATGAACCTTCCCGCTGTGGAACCGTCGAACAAAGTTTGGTTGGACGGAGAAAAGAACTTCAGTATGGTATTGCAGGCCGTGGTGGATCCGGACATGAGATTCCTAGACGTGATCGCTGGTTGGCCTGGAAGTCTAAGCGATGACGTTGTCCTCAAGAACTCAGGATTCTTCAAACTTGTTGAGAAAGGGAAGAGACTGAATGGTGGAAAGATTCAACTCTCGGAAAGAACAGAGCTAAGAGAATACATAGTAGGTGATTCGGGTTTTCCTCTTCTTCCATGGCTTCTCACTCCATACCAAGGCAAACCCATGTCGCTTCCTCAAACCGAGTTCAACAAGAGACACTCCGAGACAAGAAAGGCCGCGCAGATTGCATTGGCGAGGCTTAAAGATAGGTGGAGGATAATAAACGGGGTAATGTGGATGCCTGATAGAAACCGGTTACCAAGGATAATCTTTGTCTGTTGCTTGCTGCACAACATTCTTATAGATATGGAAGACCAAACTTTGGAGGATCATATCTTGTCTCACCAACATGACATGAATTACAGGCAACGAAGCTGCAAGCTTGTCGATGAGGCTTCATCGGTCTTGAGAGATGAACTCTCTAACCAATTGTGGGGGGAAAACTCGTCAGCTTGATTACTCTTTCTTTCTCTCTCCCGCTTCTTCTGGTTCTTTGTGTAAAAGCTTTGCTTTGCTTCTGGTAATTTTGTTTAGCATACATTTTTCCGTTTGATTTGTTGAAATGTTCCCGTATCCTCCTTTTAAAAGACGGCTAAAATGTGTAGCGATATTTTGATTTTCTTCAACTTTACACACACATCCTACTACACAAACCTTGAGCCAACGGGCTTAATGTGGATGATTGATTACACCGTGACGACCAAAACCCTTAAACTACAAGCATTGGTTAATTTCATTAGTTTTATCGGTTATAACTAAAGAATGATTTTAGTTGGTTTATATATGTTTATAAAATAGCAATGTTCATTGGTTTATTCTTTTAGTCCATTTCGAAAGATTATACGTTATATCAGACAATTTTTTGTGTGTGTTTGTGATTGACTTACTACTATGCGGATACAATGGAGAAACTGGTTTGCTTGAGGAATAATAAAAGGAGCACATTTCTAAATCTCTAACTCAAATAAAAAACATTTTAAAGCAAAAGGAATAAACAAAAGTGTTACAACCAATACAGAGAAACCACAGATCTTTAGAATCTCCTTTTTCAACCTTATTAAGAGCTGTATAACTGACAAACGAAGGTCATAACAATGGCTTCTACAGGAACGGAGGCAATATCACCCATCTTCTTGGATACTTCGGTTTTCCATCTTTTCCATCAAATATCTGCAATACCAAAATCTCATAAATCCACAATAAGAACCACAAAAAGCAAGCCAAAAACTTCGAGCTTTTCTCAGCTCCGGAAAAAAAAATAGTATAGGCTCGAAAAAAAACCAAAAGCTTCAATTACCTTTCTCAGACGACTGTGCTTTCCAAGAGCCCAATTGGTCATGATTAGAGCGGCGACAGCGAGGAAAACGTATCCTGCAATGGTCTGAGTAGCGATATTGAATCCTAGCCATTGGTAAATCTCTGTAGTGTAATTAGCACATGTAACAATGTTGAAGAGGAAACCACGTGGAATCTGGTAGCCTCCAGAGCCATTGGGGTCTCTAAGATTCTTCAGCAGAATGTGACAGTAAAAGTTTGCGACTTGGCAAACCAAACCAAACCCGAAACCAATCTTCATCTGAAGGTCACTGACCGGTGTGTACAAGGGATGGTTCACGTAGTAAGCAATGTAAGCACCAAAGCTCCAGTAATAAGCACAGTTCCTGAACACATTCGCGATTGGGGAGGTTGCGTGGCTGAACCGATGGACAAAAAACGTCTCTAAGATCCGTTTGAAGTAGTGAAAGCACCAGTAGTACATAGCGTACGTCTGCACTCGATGGATCACACGGTCTTCTCCATAGCCAAGGAACTTGTAAACAGGGAAGTAGTAAAAGAGCGGGTAGATTAAGAGTGGACCGAGATACTCGAAGAAGAAGAGCGTGCGGTAAGAGACTTGTGCCCCCAAGTCTTTAAAGACTACAGTTAAAGAGTCTGTGTTTCCATCACAGTAGTCTTTGAGTGATTTCTTGCTGTTGAGGACGACAGGTTTGTCTTTCGATCCAGGAGCCACAGGAAGAGTCAGTCTTTGCCTCGACGGGTAAAACTTCTTAGCTGTTACAAAACAACAACAGCAAAAGTTATATTATTTAATACAAAATGAATCTATGCAAGATGTGAAGAAAAAGAATCCAAGCTCTCTGCTTAGTACAAGTACTCTAGAGAATTTCGAACAGAAAAAAGATTCATAGACTCGCTTTCTAGAAAAGAGTTAGTGGTCAGATCAATAGAGACACACAAGTAACACAATAGAATATTCTTTTAAAGGCATTGAAGTCATACCAAACTATATAACTTAGGATCAATCTACCAGTGAAAGCATTTGAACCTAAAAGGGACAGATCTATTAATGAGAAAAGGTTGTAACTTGATGTAAGTAATCCAAAATCCCAAATTGGGTTTACAAGCTTAAATAACCCTCATCAGCATAGAACACTATCAAATCTAAATAATCCATAAGTTTCCCCAACAGATCTTGTGATTATAAACCATAAGCATCAAATTCTGAAGGAGAACTCAGCACACTAAGAACAACTTTATGAACATCTTTACATGAACTTAACACTACCTGATACACTTCCTTAGTTAGTTTTATCAGATTAGATCAATTTCAACATTCCGAAAGTCAATTTACTAGTAATAAAAAATGAAAACTTTTTTGAGAATTTACCTCTCTTATGAAATGCTTCCTGCAGATCAGCAACAGTCGCCTGCAAAGAACCAAAAACAAAAACCCTAAAATCAGAAAGAATGCTACTTGGAAGATGTATCAATCTTCTTCCCTACGATATTTACAAGGCGAAATCGAGGAAGCAAACTAGAAACAAGACCCTCAATCGCATTTCAGAAACTAAACGCACTAAACATAAGAAGAAGAAGAATGAAGAAAAAAAGAGACAGGAAGCAGATCAAGGAGAAAGTACCGAATCGGGGAGGTCGAGGGGACCCTTGAGGACTTCTCTGCCGCTGCGGGAGACGACGGTGACCTTCATTGCTTAAGCGGAGAAAACGAGGAAGACCCAGATGAGGAATCTGTGAGAGAGAGAGAGAAAGGAAAATTAAATAGAAGAGGAGGAGGAAGAAGAAGATAGATTGGGCATTGAAGATATGTAGTTGGGAGTAGGAGAACTAACTAACAATCTCCCAACTTTAAGATATTGGACCCATTTGCTCCCATCACCTCTTTTTTTTTTTTTTCTTAGTCCAAAATCATTTTTTGCATCTAACTGAAGAAATTGAAGTGTTTGACTTTGTTTATTTGACTTTGTTCCAAAGTGATACTCGTTACAACTTCGAGGTCAATTAATAGGTTGCGTACGTTTAATCTTATCGAAAACAAAAGGAATTTGGAGTTTTCAAGATTACTCAAGCTAAAATTGACATATTCCTCCATTAAGAGCTTATCTCAACTATCATGTCAGCTCAGCTACTAAAAAAACTTTGGGGATCAATATGTGATTAAAAGGCATTATCCTATGTTGTTGTTGGTCTCAAAATGTCCTTCATTAGTGATTGGCTGCCCATCTATATCATATATGTGGAATTAAGAAGAACATTTATGGCATTGGTTATATGTTTAGTGGGCAGTGGGCACTCAATTATAACATATAATAAAGGGTCACCAAAGTAGTCAATATTCAAAGAATAAAACAACAACGACATTAAAGTGTCAGGTGAGAGATTTGTAATTTGTTGTTAGTTGGAACTGGATATATGTAGTTTAATTTTGGGCCAGTGAATCAAAATACATCGTTTTAATAGAAGATGTAATTAAATTTAATGTTTGATTGCTGAGTTTGGATACAGAAGATGTATCAATATGTACGTCCAGAGATTAAATAGATATCTACATGTATATGTACATTCAGGAAAATTTGCAGTTGTAAAGGTTACAGGACTAAATAACAACACAACTCATGACTTGAAAGTGGATTCAATCACTGGTCTAGTGTCGAGATTATGAGCTAAGTATGGGACTCTATATGGGTCTATATATCGAATGAAAAATAGAAAGGGGGGAGTTGTTTCATAAAGAGAAAGATAGAGGCATGGCACATTTGAGCACTACTAGCCATTGATCCATTTTCGAAGGAATGACTATTTTCTAGCCTCTTATTTAATTACAGCAGTCATTATACAGAACAGCAAAAATGATTTCATTTTTTTCTGGTTGGACAAAAAATTGAGTTGCATGTATCCTCGTGATACGGAAAAATCTTGGTAACCTGAAGACAACACAAATATGTTGTCTCTCACTCTCTTGCAATGGTGAGTGTACGTATTAGTGAAAAACACATGCGAGGTGTGTCTATTTAGATATGGTCGATATAAACTCGTGATTACTTGTGGAATATGGTAAAGACTAGTCTTGGTGTGCATATAAGGATGATGTGAGGATTCTAGTATAAGAACTCAACTTGTTGAACAAACAAATATGAAGCTGAAATCAATTTAAAAATGAGAAATAGAAAGGATTAATTGATTGGAACCAATCAAGAGATAATTAGGTCATGGTCGGGATTAATGAGATTGACTAGTATATATCAAGTGAATGATGTGTAATCCTTGGCACCTTGCTTACATATAGTATAAGCAAGGGGGAGATGCACTTTATGGAGGGAGGGTGCAAGTGCACCTTTTTAAAAAATGTAATTTTTAAATGAAATTTTAGTTATGCCCCATCCAAATTCTGCAAATTATCATATTATTAGTTGATGAGTTTTTGAAAAAGAAAAAAAAAAACAGAATTCTTTTTACAAATCGATAGTGTTTCTAAATGAGCCAACCGATAGGTACAATGTTCATCGGAAAACATTGTACAATTTATCCAATCTACCACAACTTGGTCATTAGAATGGCAATATATAATGCGCATGTTCTTGGAATCTAGGAATCTTCTACTAAAGAATGGCACGTGACAACGATTTCCATCTGATGCTATATTGAGTTTTCCCACTTAGACAAATCTTGGAAACTATGATCAAATTATAGAGGATATATTTGTATCAGTTTTATAATATATATCATATATAGACGTGGAATATGGATGCAGAAAAGGCTGCAAAGAAGGTATTGCTTTATTACCATGGATATGGGCTCATGAGATGTACACTACAGATAATAGAAGATCCTTTTTAGTTGCATGAAAATGAGTTATCGATAAAATAAACACACGCACATTTCTATAAAGACGAAACTCTTTAAAAAATGAGAAATTTCTAAAGAAAATAAGAGAGACGTTCTCCTTTAAAAAATATACAAAACCATTTACATAAAAAAAAGTTTGCAAGATTTATGTGATAGGCTGTTTCAAATTAACTCTCAACCATTCACTGTGAAAAGATCGAAATGCAAAATTTCATGACTTCTTCAACGAGAAATCAGAGGTATGATTCGAGCTATGCTTCTTCCGTATTCGTTCAGCAGCTTTCCAATAGATGAAGAGCCCCCCATTATCTCTCATCTCTCTCGGCGAAGTTTGAAACGCTACATATCGACTAAAATTGTTAACTCCATCCTCCTTTCTGAACAAAATTATGCCTCCTCTTTTACAAGAATTTTAAAAATAAATTATACATATATCTTGGGGTACGTAGGATCTATTAACCATAAATTTAACAACAACAACATTCAAATAAGAAAAAAATTCAATAATATCATAATGATCTCTTTTAAAACACCAAAATGTAAAATCATGTTCTTGTATCATAGTTCATAGATGTGTTATTTTTCTACGTCAGCTTGTACGCGTTTTACAAAGGTTTTGATCTTCATTTCCACCGAAACACGGCATAATAAATTCGACTTAAGGAGACAAAAATGATTTCCAAGAAATTGAAATAACACGCACATAACCACAGAAACATATTACTACAAATTTCAATCATACTATATATTCAGCATTCTATTCTTTCTTTGTGTCTAAACTTCATCCAACTTTCCAAGTAATTTGCAAATCAATGGAAAAGTTCTTCTGATCGTCTTAGTTTGATCATTTCTTAGTTGGTACGGAAAGGTTTAGCCAAAAAAAGTCCGTACGGAAAGAATAAAAACAAGTAATGATTAGACACATATATAGTTGGTGGATGATCTATGTTAGAATCGTTTGTATTTTTCTCGAGTTTTGCTGATTTTTTCTTGGTTATAGTCTAATCTAACATCTCGCTGAAGAGAATCAAAGAACAATGGCAAATACTTGCTTTTAAATGGGGATTTGGTACTTTGTATTTTTTTTTCGAATCATCAGTTCTATTGGAAGCAGGTACAAAATTGTCATTATATCAGTGATTTTTTCTTTAGCGGCGGAATTCAAACAATATCGACAAAATAATTTCAATATATATTTTCTATATTAATTTTCTAGAAATTAGATTAGCAAGCTTGATCAAAGCTTTAATCGGTTTCATAACACTGGGGATCATTATCTGATAATCAACAAGTAATATATTTAATCATTCAATTGGTGAAAACTCATGAGCACAACAATCTGAAACCATGTAGTAGAAGTTTTACGTGATGCTAAGTAAGATTTGTGTTCTTTGAGTTAAAGAACCTCTCGTAGTGCGGGTTAAAGTCACCCTTCCACGTAAACTTACAGAAACAATAATTATAATAAATATATAGAAATACTTAGCTTTGATATTGAATCTTGATATGTTATCAATAGATATTTCTTAATTCTGAGTTATATCGTTTGCGATGTTTGCTGTAATGTGTCCTCATACTATGGTCCATAAAAAAGAAGATCTGATATCAGATTTGGACCACAAATCTTTCTTTTAGAAACCACGGACTGGGACACCTTCCTACAACATGTCCGTCTTTCCTAATCTTACGTACCCCTCACATTTGTAAACATATATCATCAAATAATAGACTGATAATTATAATTCGGTATCTTTTTTTATCGGGATAATATCTTTCTTGTCTATAATATTAATATATATACATATATATATATATATAATGATAAGTTTTATCGGCAACTTATATTAGGGTGTACATGGCTGATGGCTCACAGCAAGAAAGAAAAAAAAGAAACATCTCTGTCGAATCATCATGATTTGATTTGCTGGCTTATGTTTCCTGGTTTTAATTTTGTGTTGCAAATTACCCAAATCAGCACATTTTAAATATTTTTCCTTCTCCTGCGATAAAGTTCTTAAATATATAATTTGGTGCTACAACATATATATATATATATATATATAGCAAATTCGACCATGTTAAAACCCAAAAAAAAATCGACCATGTAGGAAAACTATTAAAAACTAATAATGCAAAATAAACTGATTATAAATAGGGTCATATTATATCAAATACAATATATAAAGTGTTTTTATTAGGCTATTGTCTTGTATAATTAATTTATTTTATTTTAACTAATATTATTATAGAACAATAGTATTATAATATTCAGATGACTACTTGAGTTGTATAAAAAGTGATATTTAAACTTAGCATTATATCATTTTCTCTTATATTATCTCTGGTAACATCTTTCCTAACAACACTACAACATCATCTTAATTAATATATTTGGAATTTTTAGATCAAATAAATGAAACTTGATATTTGTATATAGCTTCTTTGTTATCAACAACAAATACAATTGGATCGAAAATCTAAAAATTCTCTTTCAAATTATCCTAACTCTTAAAGTATCCTCCATGCAGAGGTAATTATTTTTATATGACAAAAACCACAATGACAATAATGTTAAGAGTAACAACTATAAATACTATGAAAAACGAAACTTGGGTCCTACCCGAGGAAAACAAAGGTACACTCGATTGTGACAACTCCACCAAAGACCACCCCACTACCAATTCACCTTTAATTGTTTCTTTATTAATTCGCAATCTTTTTGATTTTTTAATTAATCTAATTATTCGCCTCCCTCGTTGTTTTTTGACCCTTTTAATATAAAATGAAGGGAGGTACCTAGGGTTTCTCTCTCTGCATGGCCACTCTCGCTCTTCACATCTCTTTTTGGGCACCACTGTTAACGTATGCAAAAAAAAAAAAAGCTTACATGCTAAGAAAACTCTCTCTCTTTGTCCTTATCGTTTCTCTCATAAAGCAAATCTATTTTACATATGTTAATCCAAACAATATCCTTCCTAATGAAATACAACATTTTTTCTTTCTTCCTAAGAAAATATATAATAATAGTATGTACTCTATTATAGGAATTGAGATCGCATCGGTTAAGGAGTGAGTTATCTAATCAGACTACCATCTTAGATTTCACTTGTCTTTTGCTCGTTGATTGATAAGGAATATACAAAAACACACAATACATATATATGCCAATGTTTTTTTTTTTTTGCTTCAAACAAATGAAGTGATTTGATTAATTGCATAGGGACTATAAATCTGATAGACACATTCTTTATCAATCACTATAGATTCATCAAATTAGCAAGACCCAAAATATTGTTGTTTAGGTAAATTAATATACCTTAATATAGTTAAAGATGTTTCTATTTTTGTAGTATTTTTTGACATCTAAATTTATGCTTTTGTAGTATGTAATAGATAAAAGATACAGTTTTAGTAAAAACTCCTACAATGTCATCAACGTTAGTATAATAAATGAAATAATTCATATTTGATCAGTATACAGTCATACAACCAAGAAACAGTGACGTTCATAGATGATTGACTTGGAAAAATAAGCAAAGTAAAATCTGTTCAAATCCACACTTAATTCCAAAAAGGTTAACGATAAATAAGAAGGTTTTTGATGAAAACAAAAAGAAACAAAGACGTAAGAGAATGATGAAAATTGAAAGGAAAAAAAAAGAATTAAGAAATACAATAACTTAAAGAAGGAAACTTCATCTCTTCTTTTTCTCATTCAGCTCCTTCCTTCTCTGTCCCTCTCTCTCTCTCTCTCTCACTTCACCTCTCCCCCCTCCCCTCTCTCTCTCTCTCTCTCTGATTCAATTCTTTCTTATGTGATGTGATTTTTCACCATATCTGCAAACTCTTTCTAAGGCATTAATTTAAAGCCAAACTCAAAGATGGTTTTTTCTTCTCTTCCAGTGAATCAGTTCGATTCACACAACTGGCAGCAGGTAATCAATCTATGATACTATATATGTTCTTGATCCGTTTATATATTGATCCATTTCTATATATGTTGTTCCAAGTTCAATCATATTGTATATAATGAGAATTTGCTTTGACAGTTTTTTTTAAGAGATTAAATTCATTATAAGTTTGCTTTTACAATTGCTCATTAGCTGCTTCTTTTTCTTTGTGAACGCCCGTATATACTCATAGATATTCTATTATTGATAAAACTCTTTTTTCTTATCTACTCGAATATACCATAAAATATTTGATGATTTGTTTGGCTTTTTTTTTGTTTTCATTTTTAAGACTCGCTTCTTTCTTTTTATTTTCCAGTTCAATATTTCATGGGATGAATTTTTTCTTTGTAAAGGATTTACCCTTTTGTTTTTCCAGGCACTGAATTAAACAGAAATAAAATCTAAAAAAAAAGTTACTACGACTTTAAATTGAAGTGATTAGTCTTTCTGCAGCTTTGTTGAAAAGCTATAATAAATCTGCACATTTTTTCAAAGTAGAACATTTTGATTTATATATTTTCTTTCGTCTCCGACCATTAATGTTTCAAGCATGAATAAATTCCGCTTCATCGCATTTTAAAAAACTAAGTATAATGTTAATATGCAGCAGCAAGGAAACACACAACAGCTAGAGCGTGTCACAACTGACCAGAACCCTAATTTCAATTTACCACAGTTCTCATCACCGCCGGCTTCTCAGGCTGGCTCGAGCCAAGCCAGGGTGAATTCAATGGTGGAACGTGCTCGGATCGCGAAAGTCCCATTGCCTGAAGCAGCTTTGAAGTGTCCTAGATGTGACTCCACCAATACTAAGTTCTGTTACTTCAATAACTACAACCTTACTCAGCCTCGGCATTTCTGCAAGACATGTCGCCGCTACTGGACACGTGGCGGTGCCCTGAGGAATGTTCCTGTCGGAGGAGGCTTTCGGAGGAACAAGAGAAGCAAATCCAACGGCTGTGGAAGATCGAAATCCACGGTCGTGGTTTCGGCTGATAACACTAATACTACTTCGTCGCTTTCTTCTCACCCAAGTTATTCAAACCCTAGCAAGTTTCCTAGCTACGGCCAAATCCCGGGTTATAGTTCCAACTTACCAATATTGCCTCCTTTCCAAGGCGTTGGAGATTACAATTCAAGCAACATTGGGTTGGATTTTGGAGGAATTCAGATAAGCAACGTGATGAGCGGGATGAGTTCTAGTGGTGGGATCTTAGATCCATGGAGAATGTCTTCATTGCAACAAGCTCAGCAATTCCCTTTCTTGATCAACACTACAGGTTTGGAGCAATCTTCAAATGTGTTGTATCCACTACTACAAGGTAATGAAAGTGTTAACCAAGCTAATCCTCAACAAGAGAGTAGTAGTGATTATTCCAATCAGCTACGCTCTAAACCCTTGATGGATATGGCTTCAAGCGGGGATGGGGCTGCACAACCGAGAAATGTTAAGTCGGAAGATAATGATCAGGATCCAGATACCTTGTCGAGAAACTTTTTGGGGAATATTAAAATAAATTCTGCGGGGAACGATGAGTACACGCCATGGGGAGGCAATAGCAGCATTAACAGTTCATGGACCGGTTTCACCTCCAACAACTCAACAGGCCATCTCTCATTTTAAGTACTCAGCACGATTTCTTGATGATTCTTTTGTTGGTTGGGTTGTACATGGATCGCTTGTCATGGGGGTTATATATAACTGAGGAGAGGTCAAACCATGGAGCTATTATATATATGATCCAAGGGCTAATTTTGGGGCTCAAGGAAAATTAAGGTATGGTTATAAAACTATCTTTTTAATCTTCTAGAAGATATTCAAGGTGTGAGTATGTTAATTGGTAGGCTTCTGGTGATATTCATGTTTTATCAGAATTTGGTGTTATATTGGCTATATTTATATAGAGGTGTGCGTTATGTATGAATTAAGGAATCGATAATGGAAACTTTTTGGTGTGTTCAATCGATCGAATTCTCAATTTCTTGGAAATTTTGTATAAGATGTATATAGAGCAAGCAATTACTATATGTTAAACGTAATTAAGTCGAATTTGATTATCATAAAATATTAAATATATATATATATATATATAGATATAGATATATATGCTAGAAGATTATTATAATAACACCTATAATATGAGGATATGCTATACTTATTCAGTCCGACTTACATTCTGATTCTTTCTTTTCTATAAAGATTTCCGTCTTTTTCTTTTTCTTTTTTCCTTAGCAGAGACAAAATATTTGAAAGAAAGAAAAAATATATCGCAGATTCGCAGCTTTAAATTTTCATAACGCACGAGAAACTCCCTTTGTGAATTGTTATCTTATTCATCGAACGGATCCAATGTAATGTATACTGTACTATAGGACTAACAGAACTTGTACGTGGAACGAAATTTTGTTTGCATTTGCATCTATTTACGAATTATAAAAAAAAACTTCAAATAAAGATTTCTTTCATCAGCTTGAGTTGTGCGTTTGTATGATTTGCAACGAGGTTTTCATTAGAACAATAAAAAATTGTAGGTTTACTGAAAGAAAACATACTATTATAACCCGAACCTAGTTTAAAAACATTTTTATCCATTTTATTTAATCGAAAAACGTTTAACAACTAATATATGAACATGTTTTAATAACATGAAAACTGTAATATGTATAACAAGACAAGAAAATGGTGTTAATTTACACAACTAACTAAAGATATATAGCTAGATGGATCATATGTCTCCAGACCTAGTTAAGGTTCTTTGGTTCCTAGTCAATAGTCACACGGTACGACCGTACGACGAAAATTTAACACCACTTTATGCATCATTTCCAAAACTGTTTTTAACACTAATTAAGGGGTGCCAAAGTATTCTACACATGAAAAAGCTTGTTCGAACGTAGGGATGTCATTTATCTGGATTCTGGAAATAGCATATAAACGACGAATTTCCAAAACCTCCATGCACTTTATATATGTTTGTCTTAATTTTTGTCAAACAGTATATTTGTGTGTCTTATTTGTTGTCAAACGATAAATCAGTAAATGTTACTTACAAATAAATAAATAAAAAATAAACGTTTGTTTTTCAAAAAAAAAAAAAAAAAACCTCTATCAAGCATCACGTATGTAGGGAACAACAAGAGGGATGGTGAATCAAAACCTAAATTGATGACAGTGGTTACATGTAATGCACAGTTTTAAAATAATGATGCTATACCATTAAAATGCACATTAAAAGAAAAAAGAAAAAAGAAATCTACAATTAAAGATGCTTAAGCCATATATATTTTTAGAAGGTGTGACATAATAAAAAAGAAGATCATGTGATAAAAAAAAAAATCATGGTGATTTTTGTGATCAGAGTTGCTAAATTTGGTAAACTTTTAATAAATAAAATATCGGTCATCAGCAGACGAAAGTAGATTCCACTGACCGAAGGAGGACCAAGTGTGGAGGTCACTGGTCATATATATACCAAATCCATCGGGAATTGCATATACGAGCCAAGTGTATGATCACATAAAGCTATGTATTTGAACCACTTCATTAGTTATTTTTCCTATGATCAGATACCTATACTTAGGGATTCACTGAATCAGTTTTTTACCAGAATTAGAGAATACCCAAACATATATACTTAAAGCCTTAATTAGTAGTTAGTAAAAAATGAAACAACTAAACTATTTATTTAACATATAAACCATTCAATATTTTTAGTAAGTAACTGATAAATTTTTAAAAATGATATCTGCTTTGTATATTTCGGTCTGCAATCGGAGAATCAATCAAAGAAACCAAACGCTAGAAGAAGAAGACGAAGAAAGAAAAAAGAAGAAAAAAGTATCTTAGTTCAAAAGAAGAAAAGAAAGTAGTGTAATATGTGGGAAAAAAAAGAAGAAGCTAAAAACAAAGCAGAATTCAGTTATAAGGAATTCTGGGATTTTTTGTCGCAAGGGAAAAAACTAACAAAAGACCATCACGCATAATCTATGAGTCAAAATCATGGACATATATATAGGTACATACATCCATATACACACTTATATAACATATTCATTTTTTCTCACTATTTTCAGGATTCTCTCTATCTGGATTCGACATAAATAACAATGCAGTAGTCGTTGCATTTGATGAGGCAGCTTCAAATATTTTCTAATATATTATTTTATTTTCCGCCTAAAACACTTTTTTTTAATGATAGAAATTACATTTAGTGATTAACAATCCTGGTTAATAAAATCTTGGAGAAAACTTGGACACCTATGATACAAATTCCATTGAAAATTACATTTAGTGGCTTGTTTAGCAATTAAATATGCACAATAGGATTCTAATATATTTATAGAAACCCTTTAATTAATGTGTATTTTATCAAAATGACTTTAGTTAACAGCTTACAAATGAATACAAAGATGTATTACGAAATTAATCCAACAATATAGAAGACCATTCCACGTTTTATATGAATGCATATAATTAAAGAAAACAAGTTCAAATTATAAATGGAGACAGTACGGAGTGGGACGGGCGATTATATATATATATATATATATATATACTGCGGTTCCGAATTTATATGTTTTGATTGATTAAAGTAAACTAAAATTGAAAATGAGTGGTAGCATAATGAGTGGCAATCTCCAAAGGATTGTGGAATCTGGGACTTTTGGTTTTGGATCTGCTTTTGCAATAACCAATGCCCTCAAATAAAGTGTTTCTTTCCCAAAATCATATCACTCTCTTTTCCATTCATTGGAGCGTTACAGAAATTATATAAAAAAACAGACACGCATTCCAATATATGCAAAACATAAGATAAAGCAGGGGATTTACTGAATATACAAATTAATAAGTACAAAATAGCACATACGTCAAAAAGGATAAAAATTGAAAGAAAAGAGAAGCATATATTCAAGCCTTGTTCTCTATACCAATGCAGCTTTTAGGACCAAAGGATATCTTTCTAGTTTATTAAGTTTATATTGTTCTTCTTTTAAAGAAAAAAAATAGAATGTACGTTTTCATATTAGTCTATCCGAGATTGGTCGCTTACATTTTTCCACAAGCCCTCACTTCATAATCTCACTCACAGGATAAATATGAAGATGTATCAGCCAACTAAACAAATCCGTAAGAGGAATATTTGCAGATTCTCTTTCATAATACGTAAATGAGTTGAATACAATGAATAGGATGAGGTTTTATTTTTTTCTATAATATGTTGTTTTGTTTGCGTCACCCTAAATTACAATGCGTAGATTCACTTTTTTTCTTTTCTTTTCATGAACAATCTTAGATTCCTTATTTTTTTTTTACACGCAGAAATCACACGTTGTAATTTAGGGTGACAAGCAAAACAATATACTATAGAAAAAAATATAAAAATCTCATCTTATAGATTATATTCAACTCATAAGCTTTATATATCAGCATGCATGACATGTGGCATAGTTACCAGATTATGATAGATTTATGATTTTGACATGTTTAATAAAAATCATTCATTTAGTAAAAATATTATAAATATATGAAAGTATCTTTAATCTAGTGGTTGATAAAAATGTTTGGATTTCGACTTTCAAAAAATGTTAACCTCTACTATATATTAGTCGAAACCACTTAAAAAGGACATATTGGGGGGGGGGGGGGATGTGTCACTCGTAAATGACATTTATAATCGTTTTTCTAATCACGCGAATGGGATGCATAACATTTTTGTATGTAATTTAGAAGGAACGAACTAACAAACTGATGATAATTATCCACACTTGATTAGACGTATACATAAAAGAAAAATACAATGCATTTTATCATCACTACATTTGTCTTTAAATTTTCGGTGGTTTAACCGATTTTTATGGTCTTTTTGAATATCCAATCCAAACTATTGAAACTTCTATACAATATAAAACTAAAATATTCTATCTTAGTACTATCTAGAAATACAAAGAAATTAAAACAATCTAATTGTTCATTTTTAAAATTGTTTTATTGGAGATTTTCCTCTTTTTAAAATCTTTTTGACAAGATATTCCATATTAACTTTATTACTTAACTCAGAAAAGATAATTTTCTGAAAAATATAAATACACCGTCCTTTTTATTTTCCCTGAAACAACCCTAAAAGAAGCAATTTTTAGACGGTACCATCTATATCAACAAGTCCTTCGCTCCCTCCTCTTCCTCCCCGAATCTAGTTCTCTCTCTCTCTCTCTCTCTCTCTCTCTCTCTCTCTCTCTCTCACTTTATCGCTCTATCGCCGGTGGCTTGTGATGGCAAAGAACCAAGCAAGCCTTCTTCTGCAGAAGCAGCTCAAAGGTCTCTTTTTTCGATCCGTCTAGGGTTTTTGTTTCGCTTCTCCTTGTCGATTTTTTTTCTCTGATTTTGAATTTTCGCTCGTATTTTGATTGATTGGTATGATTTCGCGTCTGGGTTTCAAATTGTTGAGCTGAATTTCGCTTTTGGTTTGGCTAATTTTGTTGATTTCTTTCAGATCTGTGTAAGAACCCGGTTGATGGTTTCTCTGCTGGGATCACGATAAGTCATTTCGTTTATTTAAAAGTCATCGCAGTAAAC